GCATCAATCGCAGTGTCTTGGGCCGCTCCCACGTCTGGGAGGGCGCTCCGCAACGTGTCCGTGTCCTTGGTGCACGTCTTGGTACCCGGGCGCCGCATGCTTGCGCCCGGGGAGCCGTCGCTCTGCAGTCCTTGTCCTTGTCCGGGCGATACCCGGTCGGGCAGCGTAACGCCCGCCCTTCCGGGTATGCCAACAATCGCACTCGAGTCTTGCGAGGCTACGGCAGCGGCGGGAGCGTCCGCGGGGGCGCGAAGAGCCGAACGGCGCGCGGAGGAGGCGGAGGGCGGTGTGCTTGAGGCCCCGAATGGGCCGACGCACGCTGCGTCATCTTGAGCGGTTTCCGTCGTCGCGTGTTGTTTCTCGTTTTGCGAAGCCACGGCGACTCCTATACTTACACCAAGTATAGGCCTGAAGGTACCTTCACCGGTACCAACGGGGTGTCGCCGGGCCTCTCCCCGGTCTTCAACGGTACCCAATGTCGGGACAGGATACCAGGCTTCCGCGCGCGCGCCAGAGACGTCGCTGCGCGCAGGCAGTTGCAGGGCCAGGGGCGAGGCGTGTTCAGAACACGTGCCCGAAGTGGCGGCGTCCAAGTCCGCGTCACCGCCGCGGGGCGGTGTCGCGCGTGGCGGCGTTCGCGGCCCATTTTCGCCGTCATTTCGGTCGAAAACGGGGACGCCAAAAATCCCTTGATGCGCCTGTCCCATGTCGGCTCGTCCCATCCCGTATGGTCCCACTTCAAGTGGGATAGGGACGGCGGAACGTTCCGGGAACAGGCGCATCTGATTTGCAGCCGGCCTATCCCCGATGACGAGTTGCGTGTCATCGAGGATGGAGGACGGCGATTGGTCGAAATCCACCCCAGTCTCCGCGTCAGACGACGCGTCGTAGAACGACCCGTCGCTGGCAAGACTGGAGTGGTCGTCCGTCGAGCACTCGCTGTCGCTGGACGGCGAGCGCTCGGAGTGCCAGTCCGGCCACCAGAAGCGCATAGAAATGCGGAGGTGTAGAGCCGGGGCAGGAAAAGAAACCAAACAACAAACGAACAATGTATTGAACGATGTAAAAGGGAAGAAAAGACTGGTATAGTACCGTGGTCGGCCTCACGGGGGTAAGGTGAAGGCCCCCGGAGACCTGCGCAGTCGCCCGCGCGTGTCCAAAAATGAATGTGAAAAAGTCCGCCAAAAGGCGAAAACCAGTCTTCACACTGATTAGAACAGAGAAGTGTAGTATATATTACCATCCGGTGTACCCGTTAATTCTAAATATAGAAATTTCCACCCTATTTCAAAATGGCGCAAGAAAGGTGGGGTAGACTGCGAGTTGAAGCTCGACTGTCGAAATGCTACCGTGTCAACAGACAGGTGCAACATGACAGCAAGCACCAGAGTGGGTTTCCCAAGGGCGGTTCCCTACATGGGTGGGGCCCTTTCGGCCATCGAGGGCCAGAACAAACCGTCTAGCGGAGTTCGGTACGCGACGGAGTCCCCCCGGTCTCCGTCACCTGCCTGCCTCTTGGACCCAAGGCTTGAAGCGACACATGGTGCTGACGAGCGCGATGCTTGGAACAATGCAGGTTCCAGATACGGCGGCTGGATTGGATGCACGATGCAGAGAGGCTTCAGTCCGGCCGCTTGGCGTCCCGCTTCACAAGTCCCAGGTGCTCCGTAAACACCTTGAAATTGCTTGGAGCAACAAAGCTGAGAAAACCGTACACGAGCGCCGAGAGCTTCACAGTCCATCCTTGTACCTCGAAGTGCTTCTTGATGTCTTCATACTTCAGAACCTTCGCTGCATAAGCCGTGGTCATCCCCGGGCTTGATTATTTCTCCCGCTTTTGAGCGTCAAACGCAATCGCCATATTCACAACAGCCACCGTTCGTAGATAGTGGTTGAAGACCTGTATATCAGGTCGCAGGCCGCACCGGGCATACCTGGCACCGTCTGGTTTACCGGCAGCTCGGTCCATCCGTGACGGTCACCAGATGATGCTCGTAGCGTGCGCTCAATTTCTTTTAAATCAGCATCATGGTGAACACGGATAGCGTCCATAGTACCAGGGCAATGGTCGAGTACGTGAGCAAGTGTCTCATTCCACCGACAGCCTAAGTACCGGCATCGGTCATTCGCGCGAAGGCGTCTGCGTGCGAGTGCATCGCCAGTGTAGATCATGTTCAGTCGCGCCGCTGCTGCAAAGCGGTGGTCGCTCTCCCACATGGCCCGAGGCCCAGTAAAAAAACCACTGCCAATGCGACCGTGCACGCGAGCCATTTTGCCTTTATCCTTGCGGCGACACCAGGCTTGCCAGTGCATGTTCTTCATATGTTGCTTGACCTGCCTGAGCACGCTGTGACGATCGAGATAATCAGCGTGATGAAGCACGCGGAGCTGCAGCGTCTTGGCAGGGGTCGCCAAGTCACATTCAGCTGGCGCGGTCTCACTCTTAAGTCCATAGGCTTGCATGATCTTACGAATGTCGATCTACAGCGAGCCGATGTCGCCATTTCGGCGCTTTGGTAGAGCATGAGGCAAAGCTTTAAGCTCGCCATTCCAAAAAAGCACATAAATCTCCTCTTCTCGATAGTTCCAATGATCGAAGGCCAGGCGATGACGTCGGCTGTCCACCTAGTGAAGCTGCCCGCGCACAATTCGACTGATCGCATCATCAAGCGAATGGAGCATTTGCCACCCATGGGCTATTTGCAACGCCGCATGCAATTGCACCAAAGGAAGGAATCCCAAACACCGCGCGAAGTAGGAGCGTTAAAAATCGTTGGTCGCGCTTGCAGTAGGTGAAGAAAGAGCCGGAGCCTCCTCCGTAGGTGGAGGTCAAAGCTCTCGAGATACTTGTGATCAGGACGTAGGTATCGGAGAGCATACTCTACGCGAGGGTACAAATAGACCTTAATGGCTTTGACCACTTGCCATGGCGCAAGAACGGAGGTCAGCAAGGCCGTGGTGTCTTGCTTGAGCCTCTTGAGCGCTGGCGCCAGCTCGATACGCCGGCACACATGATCGAAACCATCACCTATCCCCCGAATGGGTGTAGGACTGCAGGTGAGTCATTGTGGTGATCGGTGTGTCGGCAAGCGTCAGCTCCAGGTCATCCGGGACAACGTTACCGGCAGTTCGACCTAACCCCATGCTCCTGCACTTGGCCGGGTCGGCCATCATCCCAGCCCACTGCAAAAACTTCGCCACAAGCTCATGTCGCTGGGTGACTTCGGCCTTAGTTCCGCTAAAAATCTTGAGGTCGTCGGCGTAGGTCGAGACTAGTGGCCGGTCTTCACCCGAGAGCTGTACACTTGCATCAGGGACGTGACGTAGTGCATAAAGAATTGGGGTGATCGCAGCCTAAAACAGTTGGGGGCTGAGCAAGCATTCCTGAAATTACCTACGCGATGCTGATCGGGTCAGTTATTCCATCCACGGCGTTGCCCACGACGAATGACGCCTTGTTGTAAAGTCCTTGACACATCTTAATGTACTCTATTGGCACACCCAATTTAAAAAGAGAGTCCCACAGTAGCTTATAAGGCAAGCTGCCAAAAGCATTCTTGAAGTCGTACCATACTTCGTAGGGCGGACTATGTTTTCTGTGGGCGTTATCAATCAGAGTGTCCGCAAGAAATTGTGTTCCCCACATCCATTGAAAGCACGAAATCGTTTCTATTCGGGCGCATTCCTGTCGTTAAGGTGAAGTTAGCGATTCAAACGTCGCGCGAGAACCCCTGTGTATAGCTTTTAGATCGTCTGCTGAAGGCAGATAGGCCTTCAGTTCGAAGGGTCGTCGCGTGCGCCCTTCTTGTAAATAAGGCGTACCAGGCCAAGCTTCCAGCTCAGGGACATTTTTTCGCGTCCCAGCACCGCTTAAAACAGGCCAACAGCATAGGCAAGAGTTGGCAGGAAAAGCGCTGGTGCACATCGTACCTGAAGCCGTCCAAACCATGTCTTGAAGAACCACGGACGTGCTGAAGCTGGTCCATAATATCGTCAGTCCGAGAGGACGTCGTGAGCAGCGTGGCCATGTTCTTGGTAGGAGGCAGGCGCAACATGGCTACACGCAATGCTTCACCTTCCGGGGCGTCAGCGACGAAGACCTCGGTTGGTGTGTTGACCGTGGTGAAGTGTTGCCACAGAGTTTGTCGCGAGACCGGGCAGACGCCATCATCGTCTGCGGTGACTGTATAGTCGCCTTTAGGTGCCGTGCTAGGCGCGCCTGGCGCCGAAGAAGCTGATAAGGCTGTGCGTTGCACACTAGCTCGAGCCAAAAGGCTCTCCACGCACTCCTTCTCCGCTTTGCCAAACCGGTGGCGCAAGGTGTGTCGGGAGATTGCCGAAATTATACGTCACACACGACGCCTAGCCTTGTCTATCGCAGGTCCATCATGGGGGGCGACTCGCTCGAGAGCATGCAGTGCGTCCAGAGCCTCCTCAGTGCGATATTAGCCATGATGGGCAGGAACTTGCGGCGTCCTTGGTAGACGAGACGATATCTGCCGTTTAACAACCGCACAGGTAGAGGACTGGCGAGAATGGCGTCGGTCTCGCATAACTCTTCGCTCCCCACGTATCCTATGGCTACGCACTACTCGTTTTCCAGCCTCAGCCGGGCCGGCCATGGCCAAGGTGGCATGCCGTAGCGGCTCGATAGTTTGGTGACGAGCAGGCCGAAGATGCTGCGCAGGAGCAGGACGAGGTCGACGCGGATCACGCCGGGACTGGGTGTACCATTGCAGCGTGTCGTACAACAAGTACTGGAGGGCAGTGGTGTAGACCTCCGCCGTATCTCAGTCCTCAGTATCTGTGACCTTGGCCGATAGCGCGGCGACTAATTTTTCCACCACTGCACACGCCTCCTCATGCTCTTCTTCGACAAGCTGGCGCAGGCGTCGTCGCGACCGACAAACGGGCACCTCCTCCAGGCTCGTGGGAAACGGGGGAAAAAAATCACCATTATCAATATCGGCAGGCCGGGCGTCGTCTGATTGAGCGCGTGCTTACATGTCCACGTCGGCCAGGTCGACATCTTGCGTTGTCTGTGATGGCGATCCGAACGACATCACGGTCACGCACGCCGTGGGTGGCGTGTGGACCTTGCACTCCCACTTGGTGGTCTTCACGTCCAAGGCACGGTTGGCAAGGCGGTCCGCAAAGACATTGCCCTGGCGGTCGATATGGTAATGCGAGTGGTCATCCAACCGAGCCAACTCGGCACGCACAGCGTTACGGAGGAGACGAAGACGCGTGCTCTTGGTCCCGTAGATCCCCTTGACCTGGCGGATGACAAGCTGGCTTTCGCCTTCGACGCGTAGTCGACGCGCGCCCTGGTCTGCAGCCGTGCGGGCACCGAGTATCAGAGCAGTGTTTTCCGCCGTGTTGTTGGTCTCGGAGGTGCACGGCATGAAGTGGGACCCGGTCCAGACCACGGCACCGGAAGGGTCATACACCATAGCGCCATTGTAATGGGGCACACCTTTGCGTGAACTTAACGCAAGGGTTTCGGTGCGCCCGACAGACGTACACGAAGCAAACGAGGAAGCGTAGATAAGGTAAAAGCAGAACTGTTATATTAATATAATTAAGTCCTTAAACTACTGTCTCTCTGTTCGACTTAACTTAATTATGCTAATCTAAATGAGTGTATGGTGACGTCTCGTCACCAATCATTGCGCGCGTCTTGCGGCGATTGGTGGGTTGATATCGTCAAGATATCAACCAGTGAACAGACTCTTTGGCCGACCCTTCAATATCACCACTTTGGTGATATTATCCAAAGAATATATAACTTAATAATTCTCTATTGTCACTTTCTTTCAAGTGACAATTCCATGTAACGGGCTGCCCCGTTACAGCCACCCACCCAGGCCGGACTTGCCACGACACGCTCTATCAAATTGCAGGCGCCACATACCAAGAGCAACCTGTATCGACGGCACTTTCGCCGGTGCCACCGCAGGTGGTAAGGCGGTGTATGTGGAAGTCGGGTCCACGTTGTCCAATGTCGGGTTGCCCTCGAGGTCCGAATCGTTGTCCTTGGTCTCTTCTTCCAGCGACAGCTCGGGCGGAAGCAATTGTGAAGCGATGCACGACGCCACCACGCGCCGCGGTAGCGGTGGACCCCATCGAGGTGACGGTAGGTCGTCCAGCCGGGCGGCTATCCGGGATGCGATAACCTGTCGGGGTAGCGGTGACTCCTAATGTGGTGGTGGAATTGCGCAAAGGCGCTCAGCAACCCTTGATGCCACCACCACGCGAGGAAGAAGCGTCGACCAGCGTATCTTCTGGTTCGTACCTGTAGCCTGCATGCCAAAAGCGGTGGATTTCGGTGTCTGGGGGACGCTACGAGCTCCGTTATGTCTGAACTGGGCAGGTCAGGTACAACTAAGACCGCCTCTATAACGAGGGTTGAGCTTCGAAGGTATCTTGGCTTGATGCTTGGTAAATCAACGAATCCGTTGCTTTATGCGTGCTTGGGCCGGCGCACGCGGTCGCGTGGTGCGCATCATCGAGCCTCGACGCAAAGGGCACGCCACAAGCGTATCCTGCCCAGAAACGGTCAAGGAAGGACGTTTGGCGGTGCCGTGAGTCTCTGTGGCGGCGCAGAGATGCATTGCTGGCGTCCGTGTATGCGCACAACGTGCATGTAAATCGCTGCGAGTTGTGCGCGTACACGGAGAGAACAGAATCTGAAAGTACGCTGGCCTCGGATGGTCTTGGCACCAGTAATTGGGCTGTGCCCCCGTACTCTTCCAGCCATTGCTGGTCCAGAGCTCGAGTTTCTTCGTCGGCGGCTTCATTCAGGCGGCGACACTTACCGCCACCGCGAGACATCCGCGGCAGACGGAAGCTTCCTTCCTGCAACGCCGGGGCCTGATTTACATTC